ACCGAACAGTCTACGTAAAAGAATTTTCAATGCCACCCATAACTTATCGCAYCCCAGTGGTAGAAACACCAATAAAATCATCGCGAAAAGTTTCGTATGGCCAAAAATGAACGCAGACATCAGAGAATGGAGTAGAACATGCATTAAGTGCCAGAAAAGCAAAATACAACGCCATAATAAAATCACTCCGRAAAAAATAGAGGTACCCAAGGGACGATTCGAACACATACATATAGATATCGTAGGACCATTACCACCATCAAAAGGATATACATATTGTCTTACAATGATAGATCGTTTTACAAGATGGCCTAAAGCCACTCTAATAAAAGATATAACAGCTGACACAGTRGCAACCGCATTATATAGCACATGGATCGCTAGATTTGGAGCTCCGGTTACGATTACTACAGACCAAGGTACACAATTCGAATCTCAGTTATTTAATGCACTGACTAAACTTTTAGGTTGCACGAGAACTCGCACAACAGCTTATCACCCAGCTTCAAATGGAATAATAGAGCGATGGCATCGATCTCTCAAAACAGCTATAATTTGTAGCGGTTCAACAGAATGGGTTGATATTTTACCAACAGTTTTATTAGGTTTACGTACTAGCTATAAGGAAGATTTAAAAGCAAGCGCAGCAGAAATGCTATATGGAGTAACGCTAAGACTTCCCGGAGAATTTTTTCTAAATGAAGAGCTACCAGATAATCCACAGATGTATATAGAAAAATTCAGAGAACATATRAGAAGAATACGTCCTGTACCAGCAGCACATCATATAAAAGGCAAACCTTTCGTACACAAAACCTTGTACAGCTGCACCTATGTTTTTGTAAGAGTAGACGCAATGAAAAAGTCATTAGACGCACCATACRAAGGACCATTTCCAATAATAGAAAGACTGACAGATCATGTTTTTAAAATAGATTACAAAGGAATAGCAACAAATATGTCTACAGAACGTTTAAAACCAGCGTTTTTTGAAAACCTACAAGAAAAGAAAACTGTGCAATTTAAAACTTATTAGGTACCAAAGATTATTAACCTCAAAGACTGTACATATTGTTAAGWATAAGATAGGTTAAATGTTAGGGAGGGAGTGGTTGTGGCGATACGTGCCTAGTKTATCGACGCGGCACACTGGCGCCCTTCCTCTTTATGCGGGTATTAGACTAACTAAACCCAAGTTGAACGAAACGATCGAAATGTAAGTTAGTCCTATATATAGCGTCCAAGAGTTTAGAAGTATCTCGTTAATAAATTTATATATTTTTGTTACTTCAATTAACGACTATCGCATAAATCTCCAGATCAACCTTTTCCGTTGACCTTGTTCCCCACAGTCGTCTCGCCGGTCACTCCATCTATCGGCATACAGCTAGCGACGATTGTATACCCCCTCCATCGGGCTACCATTAACAATAAACGGACGCCCCCTCCAACGATTTACGGCAGCAGGACCGTACTCGCGTGATCAAGAATCCAAGTCACGGATGTGCAAAGGAAAACTCGTGCAAAGGAAATTTTTATAGTACCATAAATTAATTTGAGTGGATTTCGAAGAGTAGAATAATCAATAACGGTTCGTGATGGCATTGCAAAAACAGCTCGAACAGCTCGAACAAAAACGGCTAGTTTTAGAATCGGGTTTAACACACGTCGAAAATCTAATCCAAGAAGGAAATCTAAGTAAGCAGGAAATAAGAAGGCGTTACGAACGACTTGCTCAGCTTGTAGAGAAATACGAAACCTTGTATGAATCATAGAGAGATATTTCGCGATCGGAGACAAACTTCATTGAAACGATACCGCCACAGTTAACAACCCGAATAACGCTGACGAAAACAACGATATCACGAAAACTCGCGATCAACAAATACCATTACGGCGTCTTACGATCCCGCAATTCGACGGGAATATAGGGAAATGGATCCCATTTAAATCTAGCTTTTTAACCCTCATAGACACGCGTAGTGATATATCGGACTTAGAAAAACACGTATACCTTCGCGACTCCCTTCGCAACGAGGCCCTTCAAACGATCGAACATTATCAATTAACGGGGGAAAAATATAAGGACGCGTGGGGAGCCTTACTGAAGGCGTTCGATGTACCACGTATACTGTTAGCTCGGGTAATCGACGCGTTAATCGACATACCCCGACCGAAGGCCGGATCAGCGAAGRACGTAACTGCATTCTTGAACGAACTGCGTTCTCACATCTCCACACTTGAGACATTTAATGTAAGTTCGGTGGCCTGGCCAGTACGCCTCGCTGAAMGCGCGTTACCCCCCGAAATGCTACAAGAACGGAATAAACAGATAGATTCCGACGAATATCCGACTATCGAGCAATTCTTTAATTTTTTAACCCGATATGCGCGTGCGTGTGCTCCGCTGAAAACGTCATTAACGTCCGCGAACTTTGAGCCCCGCGCAAAACGTAGATATCCCGAGAAGATGAATTTACGACCACGAAAACGACAGGACACACGTCCGACACGCACGTTTCTTACTCGTACCATGACGAAATGTATTCTTTGTAGACGAGCTGACCACCCTTTATATCGCTGCCCTCGATACAATAATATGACGGAACAAAATAGATTGACAGTGGTCAAACGTCATAGATTTTGTCAGAATTGCTTACGGACGCATCGAGGTCCATGCAACGCTTCCCATTGCCAAATCTGTGAACGACCCCACCATACATCACTACATAGGAATACTAGCCAACAGAAGGCCGCGATACAGGAGACCACGACCTCCACAAAGCAGGAGACCGCGTCAACATCCCAAACTGAACCCATCTCCACGTGACGCACTCCGATCTTTAATAGCAACGCGCGCGGTGTATCGAATCAACTCCTTATGAGCGCGATATGCCGCGTAAGAAGGGAAGACGGAACTTTCAGACTATGTCGGGCGCTATTAGATACGTGTGCCGCCGCACACTTCATCACCGAGAAGGTCGCGAGAGACCTACGTTTGCCGATCAAACCATATTCGATCCCTATTCACGCTATCAACGATACCACAACTCAAGCGACGGGCGTTATCGAGATAAACATTCGATCACTAGATAACAAATATAGTCGAAACCTTTCACTACTCGTCGTTCCAAAGATAGCCGATCAGGTACCTAGCGAGATCTTCCCGCGAGAACTAATCAAAATCCCGTCTGATCGAAAACTTGCAGATCCCCAGTTCCATTTACCACGACCGGTCGATATCTTGATAGGTTTCGGAGTAACACTAGTGCTCATGACAATAGGACAATTTTCTTTATCACCAGGACGCGGCGATCTGATACTCCAGAAAACACAATTAGGTTGGGTAGTCGCGGGGGAATCGAATCTAACGATCATAAGAGAAATCATACGTTTTTTACGACAACCGAATTGAAAGAACAATTAGAACAATTTTGGTTATGGGAGGAAGCGAATATAACGCGATCGGAGCCGGTAAACAAAATAGACTGTGAAAATCATTATGTCCAAAACACCAAGCGCGATGAGTCAGGGCGATATATTGTGCGTTTACCTTTTCGCGAAGAAGGACATGATTACAGTTACCTACACGGTATAGCTCTACGTCGATTCCATAATCTCCGGAAGAAATTATACGCGAATACCGAACTTCGGAAGGAATATGAACGAATTATGCAGGAATACATCAATTTAGGACACATGTCGATCGTCGAAGATAAATCTAGAGGGGGTTGCTATCTTCCCCACCACGCGGTTATCAAATCAGCTAGCACGACAACAAAGGTACGGGTCGTATTCGACGCCTCCGCGAAAAATGATAAGAGACTTTTTCTCAACGACACCTCATTAGTCGGACCTACAATACAAGACACATTAGTAGAACATTTATTACGATTCCGGACATATCGGTACGTATTAACAGCGGATATYGAGAAAATGTATCGGCAAATATGGATTCATCCAGACGATCGCGAATATCAACGGATATTTTGGTGGCATAACGAACAGATTCGCACGTTCGAACTTAATACGGTGGCATTCGGAATAGCGTCAGCACCGTTTCTTGCCATACGAACCATCAAACAACTCGCGAAGGATGAAGGTGCTAATTATCCACTCGGAGCCGAAATACTTAACCGCGATCTATACGTRGACGACCTCATTACGGGAACTGATAATGTCGAAACCCTCGGAAAGATACGCGATCAAACTATTGAAATATTGAAACGAGGTGGTTTTAATATACGACAGTGGGCGTCTAACTTCCGACCGGTATTTGAAAATTTAGACATAAAAAACATCGATGTCGAGCTCTGCTCTGGGGAAAATCCTATTTTAAAGACACTCGGTATTTCATGGAACGCACATCATGATTGTTTAATYTACTCCGTCGCGCCAGTAGATATTCGCGAAAGAGTTACCAAACGACGAATTTTATCCGAAGTCGCAAAGATCTTTGATCCACTCGGACTTCTAGGACCCGTCATTCTAACAGCYAAAATCTTCATCCAARACTGCTGGAAAACACACGTCGACTGGGATGAATCGGTACCCAATACGTTACACACCTCGTGGATAAAGTTCGCAGAACAATTGACATTAATTGACAGTTTAACGATAGAAAGACGCATCACACTCGACGACCCGATTGACGTGCAGGTGCATGGTTTTTGCGACGCGAGTCAATCTGGTTACGGCGGCTGCTTATATGCAAGATCGCGAGATAAATTCGGTAACACATATGTACGTCTACTTTGCGCGAAAGGTCGTGTCGCTCCCCTTAAGGATACCACTATACCACGTTTAGAGTTATGCGGAGCATTAACACTCGCGCGATTATATAGAGAAGTCCGAACTGCCGGCGGATTGAAACCCGACAAGATAACCTTTTGGTCCGATTCGATGATTGTACTGGRTTGGCTGAAAAGAGACTCCAATACGTTAAAATTATACAAGGCGAATCGCGTGCGCGAAATACATGAAATCTGTGAAAATATCACATGGCGACATGTGCGACCGAGGACAACCCAGCGGACGCTTTATCTAGGGGACAACTTCCGCGCGATTTTTTGAGGAACGAGGCATGGTTCCATGGACCACCCTGGCTCGCGCAACCAGAGACTGAGTGGCCCAATCCGACGGAAAGGGAAATTCTCGAATTACCGGACGTAAAGGGATTGTCGGTATTAACGACGCGAATTGAATCCGGAAATGTATTTCAGCGATTCTCYARTTACGCGCGATTATTGAAAATTGTAGCTCGATGCCGACGATGGCTTAAAACTAACTCGTATAAGGGAGAATTGTCKACGGCGGAAATAACAGAAACGGAACGACGCATTTTAAAGATCGTACAAGGCGAACAATTTCACGCCGAAAGGGAAAGATTAAAAACAGCGGAGGGAGTCAAGAGCACAAGACTAGCCGCGTTAGATCCGATCCTCGACGAAGAAGGCTTAATTCGAGTGGGGGGCCGACTTCGAAACGCGAATTTAAGTTTCTATGAGAGATGTCCGATATTATTGCCCTCACATCATCACGTCACTGATCTCCTTATCCAAAAATTCCACGAACAAAATTTTCACGCTAGCATACAGACTACCCTCTATGCTCTTCGACAACGGTTTTGGCTTCTCGACGGCAAGAATCAAGTGCGAAGAATCGTACGTCATTGCGTACGTTGCATTCGATTCCGTGCATCCGGCATCCGGTATAAAATGGGGGATTTACCAAGCTCTCAAGTGCAGAAAACCACTGCATTCTCTCATGTCGGAGTAGATTTTTTCGGGCCGATCTACGCGAAGGAAAAGAAATACCTTAATAAGGGTCGCGGTAAAATATACGGGTGTATCTTCATTTGTATGACTATAAAGGCAGTACATATCGAATTAGTCAGCGATCTGACTACGGATGCCTTCTTGGCCGCTTTCAGGCGATTTGTGAGTCGAAGAGCTGTTCCAACTCACGTTTATTCTGATAACGGAACCAACTTCGTCGGGGCTAATACCCAGTTAAGGGAGCTATAAGCCCTGATGGAATCGAACGAATATAAAACWAAGGTCCGTGATTTCGCGATAGATCATAGGATATCGTGGCATTTCAATCCACCCCTTTCACCTCACTTTGGAGGTTTATGGGAAGCTGCCGTCAAATCTTTCAAACATCACTTCAAACGGGTCGTCGGTGAACTTCTCTTCACGTATGAAGAACTAACTACCTTCGCGATCGAAATCGAAGCTATTTTAAATTCAYGCCCATTATGCCCCATCTCGTCAGATCCGAATGACGTGACAGCACTAACACCCGCACATTTTTTAGTTRGAAGACCTATTACGACATTACCGGAGGAAGATTATGTTCAAACTCYAGCCAATCGACTGTCCTCCTGGAAACATATCACGAAGGTGCAACAAGATTTCTGGCGACGCTGGCATATTGAGTATCTATGAGAACTGCAGAAACGCCAAAAGTGGATAGAACCCAAGCAGAAAATCGAAAAGGACACCATCGTCGTTCTTATCGACAAGAATCAACCTTGCATGAGATGGCCGTTAGGCCGGATCGTGAACATACATCCAGGAGAAGACGATGTAGTACGAGTGGTCACCATGAAGACGGTCCATGGAATTTTCAAGCGCAATGCAACAACTATTTGTCCATTGTTAAATCATTGTTGATTTCTTCTATTGTCTTTAAATCACAACTATTCCCTTGTACGTACGAAAAGGTCGCCTGGCCAGCGATTATCCGAGAATGCTGACCAAGTCAGCAGAGATACGCTGAGTGATTCAGCGAATACGTCCAGCGTTATATCATAAGCAATCAAATGAACATGTTCAATAACTTATACAACTAGCGGTATACTTAACTGATTCAATGACCTAGGTCGAAAGTATTGTAAATCGATGATAACAAGCGCACAACACAACACATGTATTAGGAATATCATTGATCGTTACACTCTCAACGGGGGGAGTATGTACGATTCGAAAGGATCATACGGTAATTAGCAGTATACAAAATTCGCGCGCGTCCACCTCCATCAAGATTCTAGATCGATACTCATCGTGAGCATCGATCAACCACTAGTAACTACCAAAGCGCCCCTCTAGCTACCCCCACCTTTCGCCTCCCCACTTCTACATCCCCTAGTGCCTACGCCCTCCTGGGCCAGTACAAAAGGACATCCATTCTAGTTCTTTACCGGACGCTTACGAATACACATCTTCAARGATTATAGAGGCCACAGTGGACAAAAGGCTTTAAGAATTCACAAAGGACAACGAAAAGATCACCTTAATCTTTAAGTCTTGTGAAGGCAAGCCTATTCGACATCACAACCCTTAAGGTTGTGATTGCTATAATTCAGGAGAGCGAGAGGTGAGATCTTTGAGAATTTTGTGTAAAAGTAATTTCTAGTAATATTTTGTAAAGATTTAGTTTGTATAATTTTGTGGAAAAGTAATTTCTATAAATATTATGTTAATCTTTGTAAGATAGAATTTTTAAATTATTTTCTATTTTGTATCGAGTAAATAATACGTTTGTACGAACATTAGCTTATAGATCAATTATTAATCGGGTATTTTGTTCACGTTAATGTACTTTGGTTTTTGGAATTATATACTCTAATATTTTGTCCGAAGTAATTTTTCTTTCTTTCCATTATTATTATTATTGTTGTGAAAATAATACTGTGTTTCCTATGAACGACTATCCATATTTGCATTTTGTAGAATGGGTAAAATAGGACAATTTAGAATCTATTGTCGTTCATAGAGGGATCTGCATTACCGACAGTGTCGGTTGGTAACCAGGTTATTCGAAAGGTAAGCATCGGTACCCACATAACATAAAAACTTTCTAAAGTCTGTCTAAAACATATCTTGGAAATCCTTTAGTCTTTCAAAAAGGTTTCTAAAAAATCTTTTTACAAGGTGAAAATGTCCGCGTTCAAAAACTTGCAAAAGATTTCTTTAAAGGTTTTTGAAAGATTTTTTTAAATCTTATCTCCATATTTTGCAAAAGATTTCTAGAAAACATTTTTGAAATTTGTTCAAAAAAGACAATTGAGAGCTTCTTCAGCTAGGGCTCACCGACCAATCCTTCTCACAAATGACCGAATTTTTCTTTTCGTGGCGTTGTAAGACTGTGGAACATATTACGAAACAGACCCCTCATCCCAGCTGAGCCCCCTGTATAGGATTCGTGAAAAAAATTGGACCGCTGACTGACTGGACCAACAGGATTCGACAGTTCGCTCAGAGCAAGGGTTTTGATAGTAATTGTTAATATTTCTTATTGTCTCCACACCGAGGTGTGAAAAAAGTGTTTATTATGGTACGTTTTATCTATCTAGCAATAAGGTGCAAAAAATAAACAGTAATAAGTGAGATTGCGTGTACAAATCGTAACGGCGTGGGTCAGAGGACCACGTACTCGGACCCGAGGCACAAATCGAAAAAAATGGAAAACAGGACTTATGCTAGCCAATCCAAAAGAACCCTGCCTTTAGCAGAATTGCGGAGGCAATACAGAGCCTTGCAAGATATGAATATGACTAATTGGTTCCAAAAAAACTTCGGAACCAAAACTAATGAAAAGATAGTGCCTAACCTCAAAGTGGCAAGAACGCAGTCAAGCTCAAGTGATTCGCAAAGAAGTAACGCCTCCACGGGCGCCAATGCTATGGACATCGACGGCTTCATCAATCCGAAAAAATTTCGAAGAATCGGCCATTTGGCCGATATTGCAGGAACCTCTGTCGATAATAGGTTCCAGCCACTCGAGTCATTAGATGACTCAGCACGCGATGACCCTCCACCTCATAGGATAACACAGAGTAAAACAAGGGCTAGTATGATTCATGAGAATACTAACCCCCACCCGATACTAACCACAGAAAGCGACATCTAGCGTAAGGCCCAACGCAACCACAAAAACAGTAAGACCCCCACCTTTGCATATCTACAATATAACTATCATGGACTTTAAAAACTTTGACCAATGAAAATATACAAAGTGAAAACATCTTGGCCAGATCCAATAGTCGCTACGTCACTGTCAATGCCTCTAGTACTGAGATACACAATAAAATAAGAGAAATTCTTAAGAAAAAAAAAACATTAACTATTTTACATACACCCCGAGAGAGCTAAAAACTAAATCTCTTGTGCTCAAGGGTATCAATCTAGATTTCCCCGAGGAGGATATCGCAGGATTCCTTACAGAATGTACCAAGGATGACTGCCACATTACTAAAGTAACAAAAATAAGATATAATAAGACTGACTCGACAAGAGGATTTTATCTAATACAGCTTTCRCCAGAGAGTAATGCAGCTGCTATTACAAGAATTAGGCATGTACTGTGTCAACGAGCCAGGTGGGAGCGTTTGAAGAGGAGAGGCGTCTTCCAATGTATGCGTTGCCAAAGAATTGGACACGCTAGTAATAACTGCGCACTTGACTTCAGGTGTGTTAAATGTGGTGGTAACCATGGACCTATAAAAGAGGGAAATATATGCCCGGTTACAAGTGATAATGCTAACAATATGCTCAAATGCGTAAACTATGGCAGTAATGACCATCTCGCCTCCTATGGCGGATGTCCTTACCTGGTGATGGCGCAAGATTATAGGCGCCAAACTAGAGAGAATGCTAGAATTAAAAAAATAGAACGGGTCAGGAGACTCGTTAACCGACTAGCGCTCCCTGGATGAAAGTGTGTAGACGCTCCACGTCGCTCCGTGTTTTACCAGTGGTATCTTGTGCAAAATTGTTTTTACTAATTATAAATCTGTGATTAGTGAAAAGTGTAAAAAATTCTGAACAAACCCATATATAAATTTATATTGGTGACGGCTGTATATAAGAAACATTAAACGAAAACTTTCTTTCGTGTTCTTGGACTAGAAAGCAGCCATATTGGAAAAGTGTTCGAGCGGTAGTGCCAAAGTTTTTTCCCGCGCGGGTGGTGCGCCGCCTTGCGCCGCAGCGTTACACTACTCTATCGAAGCCTTGGACGCACCAATCGCTGGGCGTCTTGTGCCTTTGAAAATGAGTAGACCAATAAGCGATCTGGATTTTCCAGTCCTTAAGAATAAATCAGTGGAAGAAATGGAGATTTGTGATTTAAATACTCCAAGCAAAGACAAAGGTAAAAAGAGAAAAGACAGAAGTGATGAGGAGATCTTCGAGGAAATTAGCTTTAAAAAAGAAAGGAAAAAATGTACCTCAGAAAAAACGTCTCCTCTAAGTGACATTGAGAAAAAGATTAAAAGCTATAAGCGGTTTGAGAGAGATCTAAGTAATATGACGTTAGAAGATATGGAGAATGAAGATCTAGAGGAAATTAAACTTAAGTTCTCAGATATGTTTAAGATGATAAATTTCCTTAAAGAGGAAAATGATTCTCTCAAACAAAACAGGTCAGATTCAGGATCAATCGACGAAAAGCTGAAAAAATTAGAGGAGGCGATCAATGTTGCTACCACAAGCATCAACCAGGTAAAAAATCCCCCGAATAGTACAAAAACTACGAGTAGTTACGCAGAAAGACTAAAAATTCCTGCAGTTGCAAAAGTAAACGCTAACTCTGCTGACAATAAGCGGCACGTTGTAGCGATTTATCCCAGCACTGGAAATAATATTAAGTCAAGCGACGAAACTAAATCTACGGTCATGAGTGTCATGGCTCCTACTAAAGAAAAATTAAAGATATGTGCAGTCAAGAAAATTTCCAATAATGGAATATTAATTGAGACAAAAACTAGAGAAGATCTAGWGCGTGTTCTCAAATCTGAGAAATTKCAAGCAGCAGGYCTAAATACTGGAGAACCCAGTAAGAAGAAACCTATGATAATTGTCTACAACGTGCCAAAAGARATGAACGACAAGGAGTTTGCCCAAGCGCTCAGGAATCAGAATATGGACGAATACCAAAAGAGCAAATTCTCTGAAGMGGTATCAATCTCTCACAGATCTGGTAATAGAAGTGCAGACACTGTAAACATAGTTTTAGAGGTCTCACCAAATGCCAGAAACATTCWATTGAAAAACGACAGGGTCTATATTGGCTGGAATGCTCTTCGGATCCGCGATTACGTTGCAGTGARCAGATGTTACAAGTGYCAATCATTCGGACATGTAGCWAAATACTGCARAGCAAAAAGTGACACCTGTGGACATTGCGGATGTGATGGACACACCTTTAAGGACTGCAAAGTGAAGGATAAAAACCCAGTGTGCATAAACTGCAAGAGAGCAGGAAAACCCTGCAATCACTCATCGCGCTCAGCAGAATGCCCAGCATATAAGATTGCACTTGCCAGCTACATCCAAAAAGTAGATTATGGTAAGTAACTCTATAACATATGTTGCTAGGGAAACTGTAACGATAGGACAAATAAATGCGCAAAACTCAAAGTCTGTATCAGATGAACTAAGGCAATTAGCATTTAAGAACAGGATAGACATACTTGCTGTCCAGGAGCCTTATTCGTTTTATAATAAGATGGCAGGCATGAGAATATGCACTAAAGTGATAGTAGATACTAAAACATTCTCAAATGTTATAGCATCTAATAATATTAAAGCGGCAATAGTAATTTTTAACAACAGAATTGATGTTATTAAAATCGAGCAATTAAGCAACACACACATAATTTGCGTAGAGATTAAAATTAACAATTTAAAGTTTTACTTGGTTAGTGCATATTTCCAACACTGTGAGGATATTGATCCATATATACTTCATTTGGAAAATATCCTAACGRTGYTGGACAGAAAGAACATTRTRTTYTKYATAGACTCAAATGCTARGTCAACAACTTGGTTTAGTAAATGTACAGACGAAAAAGGAGAAGCACTTGAGGAATTATTATCGCAATTCCAAYTACACATTGCCAACAAAGAATCTGAAACCTTCACCTTTGACAATACACGAGGACAGGATAATATTGATGTCACAATCGCTGGCAGTAGCTGTATTAACTTTATATCTAATTGGAAGATACACAACGGCGAAACAACAAGTGACCATAACCTTATCACATTTAAAATAACATCAGCCTCAGATAAGGTCATAAGTCTCAAAGGTGATAGATTTAATACCAAAAAAGCAGACTGGGAAAAGTATATTAGAAATTTATCTAACATCATGGATACAGTTAACAATGAAGATACTTTTAGTGCAACAGATGCTGCAAATAAAATTGAACATGCATTATTACGAGCAGCAGAAACTTGTATTCCGAAAAAGAAACGCTTTTCCAAGTCTGCCCCATGGTGGAACAGTGATCTAACTAGTCTACGACAATTAGTCAAAAGAGCCCGACGAAAATATARTAAAACAATAAACARTAGACTAAAAATAATACATAARACGGAATATAAAAGACTAAGAAACCAATATATAAAGAACATTGCAAAAGCAAAACAAGAAAGTTGGGAGAAGTTTGTCACTGATATTGGAAATAAGGAACCATGGAGTATTGTGTATAAAATTCAAAGAAACAAAATCCGTGTTGAAAATGTCATTGAAACAATTAATCAAAGTGGCATACAAACGCCAAACTTTAATGACACAATGGAAACACTGCTCAATAACATGATTCCTGATGATTATGTGGACAATGAAACAGAGTGGCACATTATTACTAGAAGTGACACACTTCTAGCACCAAGCACACAGGATGCACCGCTATTCAATGTTTCCGAAATACAGAATGCTATCAAAAAACTAGGCAATAGAAAGGCTCCTGGACACGATCTAATTGAATCAGAAATGATAAAGAAAGCTATGCCTGTACTGTCTAATAAGTTACGAGATCTCTTCAATGAATGCYTAATTCAGGGGACTTTCCCAAATCAATGGAAAATAGCGGAAATTAGGATACTAAGAAAAAGCATGGAAAAGCCAGCAACTGATTTAAAGTCATACAGACCTAATTCCTTACTTCCAATACTTGGGAAAATTCTGGAAAAACTCATTGCTGGAAGACTCCAGACAATATCACATACACACCCTTTGGCATCGACTAGACAGTACGGTTTCAGGCCAGGCAGATCAACAGAAGATGCAATTGTAAAATTAAGAGATATTGTGCATCAAACCAGCGACAAGTATGCTATCGGCCTCATGTTCGACATTTCTGGTGCATTTGATGGTGTATGGTGGCCTAGTGTACTCAGCAATCTYAARCGCAGAGATTGCCCCAGAAACGTATATAACCTTATTTCGAGCTATCTTTCAAATAGAATAGCAAGAATTACAACTAATACTACHCARATATCTAARGTTGTAAGCAAAGGCTGCCCACAGGGATCCGTATTAGGACCWTTAATGTGGAACATCATCCTTGATGATGTTCTGGAAGAAATCTCTAATACGGGAAACGAAGCAATTGCATATGCTGACGATATTGCTATAATAGTGAAAGGTAATAGCAGAAGAGCTCTTGAGCTTAAAGCAAATGAGGTTACTTCAATCTTGAATAGCTGGTGTACAAGACAAAAATTAGTACTATCAGTGACAAAATCTCACACGATTCTTCTTAAAGGTTTCTTAGATATAAGAAGACCACTAACCGTCAAACTTGGAAGTAGATCACTAAGAATGGTTTCAGAATCACGATATTTAGGAGTCACATATGGAACAAGAATGAACATAACCCCACATGTTAACTACATTTATAACAAGAGTAAGACCATTTTCAGCCAATTTGCTAGAGTTGCGAAAAGTACATGGGGTTTAAACAACTCTATCATGGAATCGTTGTACAAGGGAGTTTTTATACCTATTATCTCCTATGCTGCAGCTGGCTGGGCTGACAAACTTAATACACATCACCACAGGAAACTAAATCAAGCACAACGATATGCTTTAATTGGAGTTACTAAAGCATATAGAACAGTATCAACGGATGCTCTTTGCGTGATAGCAGGAGCAATTCCCATAGGGCTTTAACTAACTCAAAAGGTAAGTCTTTATTATCAACGCAAAAACTTGTCTTTTCAGCACTTCTCAAAAAGATTCGAAGCACTTGAGACGGTAAATAGAAGTGAAACTAAATTAAGACTCCTTGAGATTAAAAAAGAAACAACAAGAATATGGCAACAGAACTGGAATGATAGCCCGAAAGGAAGGCTGACATTCTAGTTCTATGAAAATATAGAAAACAGGTTAAATGCAAAATGGATAAAACATAACCATTTCATAGTTCAACTCCTCACAGGACATGGTAATATTAAACAGAAACTCAAGAGTCTTAAATTAGCAAACACTGATATTTGCAGCTGTGGTGAAGTCGAATCAGTCCGACATATCATCTTTGACTGTATGCTCCTAAATGACTCAAGGCTTAGTCTAAAACAGGCTATACTAGATAAATACCATATCTGGCCATGTGATTACAAGTGCTTAGTATCCAAAGAAATTTTTGGCATTTTTAATGAATTTTCAGTTAAAGTACTAAAGAACAAGGACATATGCATAAGAACGTGAGCAATCTTGATCCCTGCAAATGAAGCTGTAGACGTAACCGCAGGCACCAATTGGTGTACCGATACAGCTGGGTTGTAAAATTACCCAAATACTAGCAATAATATCTGATGCTAGCCTACATGAGACCGAGCAATTGCTGGTGACCCCGCCTCCTCGTGGCCCYCGCTGGACAACGTTTTGCTGGTAAATCTTAATGATTTGCCAGCAAAACGGCTAAGTGGGTCACTTCCCAGSTTTGGGACGGTCTACCTCTCTGATGATCCAGAAATGGTGGAGAGGGGGTTTTTCCAAGCCCAATGATCACACCATCTACGGTCATTGTTCTCTTCGCAATGGTTTTACGCATTCAACATCACGTGTAATAGGCAATAGCCTGAGGCACAGCTGGGCGAGCACTTGCTCGACGTATGCTCAGAATTAACTCGTTAACCCTCAGTTGTCCTACGCCATGGCGGCTTCAGGAGAGCGGACCATTCTACCATCGTTATTGGATCAGAGTCGAAACAGCTTCCCACCTCTACCTAATCAGAGGATACTTAAGCCACAAGAAGAAAATAGATGGGCCTCTCAGAGTACTCAGCCCTTGGGACCTTGAATCCCCAGCAACAGTGCAATACCAGGAAATACCCTGAGTTCAGTTAACCTCAACCACACTGACCATCAAACAATGTTATCAATGAGTTTCTGAGTAACTTCAAAAACTCAATGATGGAGGTACTAAATCACCACATGGAAGCATTAAATAATAAAATCACTGATAATACCAGGAAGATTGATTTCCTACTATCTCAATACGACTATTAATCTGGCAATCACACTTAAACGGATCGTCCCAGTCTATCGACGTCAAAAATATTATTTCTATTTACGCAATTAATGTTAATTCACTTTGTGCCAACAAAAAAAGATACGATCTACTCGATTTCGTCACCAGATATAAGATTGATGTTGTTTTAATTTCAGAGACAAAATTAAATGCCAAACATAAATTGAGTTTTAATAATTTTTCGCTAGTTAGAACAGACAGAGGGAACGGCAAAAACGGTGGAGGAACAGCAATCCTGGTCAACAACCGAATCAACTATACGCAAAAAACGTACCCTAACTCACATTGTAATAAAGTGATGGAATACTCGGTCATCAAGTTACATATACAATCCAACTACTCACTCTTGATCTTCAGTATATATGCAGCCTGCAATAGTTATAGATGTTTCATCGAAGAGTTAAATAAATTGTTCCAGGATTTTAGGTTAAAGGACCCTAATGTTTACTACATAATAGCAGGAGACCTAAACGCGAGGCATACGTCTTGGGGAGACCACAATACAAACGAACGCGGATCCTAACTAATAAATTGGATTGACGCACATGCCATATCACATAATATAACATTTTATCCGGCCACATCACTAACTTACCCGAGTGCTGGCTCATTCCTGGACTATGGGATGATAGATTCCAGGTTGACCGCATATAATGCAGTCAACGACAAATTGCCTACTAATCCTTATGATAGTGATCACAATGCTATAGCTATGTTGCTAGATACAACCAATGCATTTGGTGGTCTTTCCCCAGCGTATGTCGCTCCTAGCAGACTCAACTTTAAAAATACTAATTAGAGAAAATTTTTTAAAGCACCTAAAAAGCCGATACACAAAACAGATCCCATACAATAGGAACCTAACCATAGGGGAGATCAACGAGTACATCGCAAAACTGGAGGACACAATACTAAACGCCATAGATGCAGTTGTTCCAATCTCTAAACGACGGATTAGAAAGGGCTGCTTAAGATTTGTGAACACCAAGATCAAAAAACTCCACAAATACAAATCTAAGCTCATTACAGCATTAGCGAAAATTGACAGGCAAGAAGTAAGGCTATGAATTACCATTAAGACCCTAATTAAATTTACCAATAACCAGCTGGTCAAGGAGTTCAGACGGGCAGAATCATCCTATTGGGAAGCACTAGCAAAGGATATCAACTTCCGTGACCCGAACAAATTCTTCCAAAACATCAGTTCTCATTTTAGGCATAAAGAACCCCCGCATATAGACGACCTCTTGATAGACCGAAACAACAATTTATACCCTATTGAAATCTTGGGACCCGAACCGGCAACCATAGTCAACGACAAGATTCGGATCACTCAACCATCAACTAAATTAAATGTTATTGGAAAATATTTCAAGTCTATCAATTCTCCACGGTACACGAACAATAATACAGAAACAAAAAGGAAAGCCGACGAGGCAGCCAACAGCATCAAAGCACAACTCCACAATAACAGAATTACCTCACGCACGCATACTACATTCTCTGTAAACAACCGAGCTTTCTCTCCCATTGCAGATCAAATCGAGCGGGCTTACTTTCACTCCCACCTGGAAGTCAGAGCTTTACTAAAGACAGCAAAAAATAAGACATCTTGTGGACTTGACAAAATCCCGATGATTGTATTAAAATATATACCAACGGAACTAATCATGGATATCACTACCATATTCAACAATTGTCTGAACCACTCGTATTACCCTGAAAGATGGAAGAGGGCTAAGGTGATCCCGATCAAATAAAAAGATAAAAACTCAGCCGACCCGTCAGGATACCGTCCCATAAGTCTAACATGCAGCATTAGTAAAATTTTTGAAAAATTAATAAAGATAAACATCATGGAACACGTGGAGAATAACAACATCATTCCGGATAACCAATACGGGTTTAAATCAAGTCACTCGACCACTCATGCCATCCATAAATTCGCGTCGGATTTGAATAAATACTTACTCAATAGCATGCTGATTGGGACAGTATTATTAGATTTAGAAAAAGCTTTTGACTCAGTCTGGCTCAATGGCCTGATCTACATTTTATTGGAGCGTAATTTCCAGAAGGAACTGATACTCCTCATCTATGACATGTTACACTGGAAATCGTTCGTAGTCTGGAATGGTACTCTCACTTCCTCACTAACCTTCTGGATAAGGGAAGGACTCCAACAGGAAACAGTAACAGCCCCAATTCTGTTCAACATATATAATAGTGAAAATTTAAATCTATTCGATTTGAACTCAGGTAACCAAACCCTTTCCAGTGTTTACGTCGACGATCTAGTGGTATATGTTGCTGACAGGAAAATACCTATTATACAGCAAAAATTAGAAAAGATAATTAACGATATAAATACCTATTACAAACTCTGGAACCTACGGATCAACCCCACCAAAAGTGAAACTATATTGTTTCGCAAAACGGTCAACGAGATTTCACCACTAACGGTACCACTAATTAAAGACTTTAGTAGTAAAATCAGTGACATTAATACAGACACATCCAACGAAATCCCAAGGAAGGATCTAGTCAAATACCTGGGAATCAATTTCGACTATCTCCTACGGATGAATAAACACCATACTATTCAACTAGACAAAGCGAAAAAAGCTTTTCGGGCCAATGCAAAAATCTTCTACAATCGTCACATGGAGCATAAAGCTAAATTAATTTGTTATTAACTACTGATCCGCCAAATCATTTCGTATACGGCGCCTATCTGGTGGAACTCAGGCCCATCAGTTATGGAGCAGTACAGACGCTTTGAAAGATCTTGCATTAGAGCTTGCTTGGGAATGTACAGGACATCAGATTCTAATCTCACCAAACGCATCAGCAACACCACACTATATAATAGGGCCGGTATACCTCGATTTGACATATTTACAATAACACTAACTAGGAATTATTTCAGCAACCTACGCAACATAGATAACGTTCATTTAAAGTCTCTTAAAGTGGAAAACTCAGCGATAGAGTGCCGAATGGCGCGCAGCAATTATTCGCCCCCTTAACTCTTTACCAACCTGGATAAGAAAGGATGTATCCAAGATGTAAATAATATTCCGATTATTTACCACATCCAAAGACATTGTGCTAAAAAAGCAATCTGGACGGATATTGATAACATACATAATGATAAATGGGTCTACTCGAGAGCCTTATCACTTTAAGACCATCAAAGTCTGGATAGACTGTCGAAAAATTATTGGTGGCTTCAGAACGATGCTAAACACATCGACGAGATTAGACGAAGAGCCAGAGAGAAAAGACAACATCGTTCGCGGCTGCAAGAAGAGCAGCAGCAAAGGGTGTAACAACATATCAGATATTAAGACTGAACAGCCTTAGCTATAATAGTATTATATATAATAACTTTTACAGTAGGTGCTTTAGGCACTGTATTCTTTAGACATAAGTTGTAAATAATGTAAATATTATATATATTTTCCCATCACCTTCCATCCCTTTCCCCTTTTCCCTCTTCACCCCTCCATTGCCCTAGAGGCTTACCAAAGATGTAATGGTTTTTTATTTTTTTAGTTTTCCATTACAATACCCAAAGATCTCATAAGACTGCGATACGTAGAGCTTAAGAATATAATGTTTATATACCATTAATGTTATTAAGAAGTTTTGGAGAGACGCTTCAAGCAATGAAAACTACCAAAAATTATATTTTTATATATTATAGTGTTTAAGCTGTTGTATGGTCGTTTATTGCTTACTTATGTATATTAACAATGTTAAAAATAAACAACCTTTTTCAAACCCAAAAAAAACTGACGGGATTCGAACCACGGATTTTTTGCTTTCCGGGCGCGACTGCACCTTAACCAATTGAAATTAAATTATTAATTTCAATTAAAAATTCATTTCAGTGCTCCGCCTCAACTCGACGCTAGACGCGAACGCTAAACTTTGAACACGTTTTCTCAAAATAACTTTTTTCAAACTGACATGCAAGATAACTCAAAAAGTTCTCAACTGATTTTTATGAACTTTAGCAAACATTTTCTTTATAGTATTAGCTTCTAGTTTAATTTTAATAATGCCACATAAATTTTCAAAAATTGCCATTTTTGACCCAAAAATCGTTAAAAAAGGGTCAAAAATCAGACTCTTTTTGTCTGAGTCGTGCTAATTTACGATTTTTTGACTTTTTAGTTTTTCCTTAGTTCAACTAGAAGATACATGTTTTATTAACACGCTCCGACCATTTTTTTTAATTTTAGAGTGCTGTAACTAAAGTTAAAAATTACCATGATTGATGCGTTTCGCCGCGAGGGCCTCAAGAGTTTGGTTATTACAGCAGCCCTTTAAAAAAAAAAAATTAAAAAAAAATCGGATTCTTATATTTTAATATGTAATGAATAAACATGCTACGTTTCAAAACGAATCATTTATTCTTTCCATTTCAAATAGGCCTCTGAAAAACGGTCAAAATTTAGGCGTTTACATGTATCGCCGGCCTTAAAGGTTTCTATAAATATGTTTGAAATGTTTTTGAAATATTTTTCATAATGTTTTTACAAACTTTTTTGAAGTATTGTGCGAAATCTTTGCAAAAGGTTTCTGCAAGGTTTTATAGAAATATTTTTTCATCAAAGTTTTGCGAAAAATTATATTTTTTTGAAATATTTTAGAAATGTTTCCAGAACATATCGCAAAAGATTTCAAGAAAGTTTTTAAAAATGTTTTGAGAAATATTTATTAAAAAATTACTACAAGATTTACAAAACATTTTGAAAAAATAAATATAAAAAACGGTTGAAAACCTTTCTGCCACATTTTATGAAATATTTTTAGTAATATTCTAAAAAACTTTCTTGAAATATTTTTATAAAATCTTTTTGCAAGGTTTCTGCAAGGTTTCATAGAAATATTTTTAAACATTTTAATTACTCTATCAGTAAAATATTGTAGAAATGTTTTAAAAATATGTTTGTAAAATCTTTTATGAATCTTTTTTAAAATATTTTAGAATGATGCCTGCAAGGTTTCTGAAAGATTTTTTGGAAATATTTTACGAAAAATTTCGCTGAAAGATTTCAAAACCTTTCGTGTTATGTGGGTAATATTGACATTGGGTTCTTCCAGTACTGCCTTACCAGTCGACGTTATAGTGGAATGATTGATTCGAATTAATTATTTTAATGTGCATAAAATATTCACGCGTTATTATATTTCTTACTCATAGTCTGTATAAAATATCCGCACGTGCATTTTTGCTGACGGCGCAGCTCCCAAAACTAACGCTTGATAAAATTCCAGTGTAACTGACGCTTATCTTTCTTCGGAGAACTCGCGCTTGATAGAATTCCAATGTAAATGAGACTTATTTCTCTTCGGAGAATTCGCGCTTGATAGTAATTAATATTTATTCAGTTCCGAGAATTGTTATTGTCAGCGAATTCTTGTCCTTGACTTGAGTCTCACGGTTTGGGAGTCAGTAGTGGAAGCAGCATTTTGCGTTAGTGGGAGGTACTTTCAATCTTTCGGGGTGGACGCTTCTTGGGATGCTGCGTTCATCCATGAAGTTAGTCTACAAAGCATAATCATTAAGTACGCGTCTAAAATTGTCTAAATTGCATAAGATTGTCTAAGTTTGTCTAAATTTTTCAGGTATAATCTAAATTCGATTATAATAATCTACCACAGATTCTCCTAATAAATTTCCTTAAATATCGCATCATATTATTCTTCATATCAATTGTGATTTTGTGAAACGATTTATTTATTATGTAATCTATTATAATTCTAAATTTATTTTTAAAAAATAATTTATTGTGTTCCACCTGGTGATTGTGATTTAACCTGTTTGCTCCCTTCAAACATTAAGAGTAGTGAACACAAAAAGGATTATAGTTTCTGATCTGTCGGCTCCTGGAACAAGGTAGGCTAATAAATTTAGTAACATCTAACGTCCGAAGCCCGGTATCTGGTATCCGAGAGCCTATCCCGGTAAAGTTCTGATTGACTGGGCTGACCCGAAACAGGCATAAGTTTTTTTAAAGTGAAAACTTCTTTAGAATGGGAGTGATCTGAAAAGTAAATAAACGCGGTCGGTCAGAAAACAAAGCTATGAAACGAAGCTAAGAAACAGCTGCTATATTAAATAATGAGAGAAAAAGAGACAAACATATAAGATGTAGCCTGCGAGGGAATGAGACGGAATATAGCTATACAGTTTTTCCTATTCTCGGTCCCCTTTTTATGCTATGCTTAGTAGTTATCGCTCCTGGTTGTATATATGTGTGTTTCTGTGCGACTGCATACTACAAAACGTGGACACATATTATTTTGATACTCAAAATGTTTTTTTTTGTAGGTAGGAGCGATAGAAGGGTAAAGAAGAATAAACAGAAATAAGCACGTAGTTATGTGACAAAAGTATATGTTCCAAACGAACCGACGCGTCGGTCGAAATAAAGAAAGAAGGTTCGAGGTCTGTTTTTATTTTACCAAACGTGTCATTTCTTTTCTATTTAAAAATGTTTCTATTTTATTGAAAAATTAATATCAAGGGGACCTTCTACTCTGAGCACCTAAAAAAAAGGCTATTTTCGCGAATTTTTTCCAAGAAAACTATAAA